TTCAACGGACCGGTAAGAAGAACTTAGCAATTTTCTTTTTATCAATAACCACAATGAATATGAATGGTTCTAGACTATTCCTTTCCAAAATTTAGACACATACCTCTCTCCCGAAGTACTTGAGATATTATTAGACTCCGTCTTAACTGGTTACACCACACTCATGCACTCTTTGCAGTACAACGGTTGACGGTAAAGGTCACTATTCCTTACATGGCATACTTTCTAAGGGTAGGCGCCGCTCTCACCGGGCAATTAATCACCTAATCTGAATGACATTATTATCCGCCAACATTCCTTCTACCTTAGAACCAGTCACACTAAATACCTTTGAAGATGGCTTCATTCTTACGCCTTGGTCGAAAGCAGCATCTACATGAACGGGAAGGGGTGTAGGAACAGTTTTCATCCAATTGAAGAGTAGGGGGCTCTTTTAAGGTGGGTATGATAATTTTATTGGGGGATTATCTATTAAATTTTTAGATGAAATAAGACAAAATAGTAAAAATTAATACTTTTATTAATTTCCTATTTATAATACAATGATATTGATGGTTATCGACCAAATCTATATATTGCAAACAATAGTAGACATTATTTTTCAAATAAAACTTTCTGCTCTCATTATAAATGTAAATATAAAGGGATAGACATTTTTATCAGACTAATATTCATGCCAAACAATATACTATAATAATGCAATAATTATAAATGAGATGGGGGGAGGGGGAGGTTTTATTAAATTCATGATCTAAAAAATAAATCTTTTTTAACAAAATTTTATAGTTGGTAGTAGAGCTAATATAATTTTAATTATTCTTTTTAAAATTTAAGGGAGTACCACTATTATTAAACAGTTATAATTAATAATATTAGAATATCGCCACTGAAGGTGGCGAAAATTTTTAAGGGGTAGGCATAGGTTTATGAGGGGGGGGGGTTGCATCCAGTGAAAATCCTGTCATGTAGACACTGGTCAGATGGGCAGATTTATGTATTCATTATATAAAAAATTGCTTGATTCAGCCGACTCTACAATTGTAGAAATATTTTTAGCAACTAAAACTATTCGTTGTATCCCGAATACCTAAAGGGGGCAAAACTTCAAATGATCAAAAATCTATCCAAAAATCTGATTTCCTTGTTAGGCAATTATTCTTCAGAAAACCACTAACTGAACTTCCTATCATTTGCCTTTAGGACCTTGTAAATCTCCGATCCTGCTAGCTAAAAATTACTGATACATAAATTAAGAATGCCACTATCTACCATTAATCACATTATGTATACTCAAGAGCAATGACATGGATAAAAATAAAAATCATAAAAATAACCTGTTCACCAAGCCGCATTAATATCTAAAACCTAATAACCTTAATGTTAAATCTGCCATACGTTTAGCAACTTCTGACAATAAGCTGGCTCCCTACGACCAAACCTATCAGGATCTACTCTTAAAATAGGACTCACAACATATTAAGGATAATATACTGGCTTACCCTGAGGCTTCTCTAATTACTTCCACTTATACTATAATAACGTTAGAAAGACTATCCTTTCCGTCAAACGTGATTCCTCACCTGAATATGATGGGTTTCGTATAAAATTCTTGCAGGATCTAACTGCAACCTACATCACATAATAATGCGACATTTTGGAAAATATTATAAAACTCGTCAACAGTAAGATTAATGGAGGCATACCACTTCCCATTGTTTAACTGCTATACGGGGCTAAACTTATAGTTCTCCATAAACCTATTAAAGTTATTCTATCGCTTTGAAACTACTTGGCGCCATTAACTGTCAAACGAAAGTAAAATAATATTCACGATATTCAGTTACCTGTGCCTGAATCAATTAGGGGTCAACGTGAAAGGTGGATGTGAGGTAGCCCATTACATGACCGGGATGTACTTACAGACAAACCTTTGCGGCGATATCCTGATTAAAATAAACTTTTCAAACACCTTTAACTCTCTAAGGCGTAGCGCGTTTCTAAATTCTATTCTCACCCTTTATCCAGAACATTAGCAATTTATTATTAATTTCTACACTAGTCCCTCACACCTCCAAGGAGATAGGTTAATTCCTTCTTACGGTAGAATATGATAAGGTGACCCTCTAGGTTTTTTAGCTCTGTCTGGACATTAATAGCCTGATACGAGATATAAATGATAAGTGGAAGCTTAGTTTTCATTATAGATGGTATACTAAGCGGCCCGTCGGAAGAAGTGATGAAGATATTAAAATCCTGCGAGAGCAGTTTAGGACTGCGAAATAATCAAGAAAAGAGCGTATATTGTTCCTTTGGTATCAATGACCTTAACTACGATCTTATGTTCAATCTAACTCTTTGGAACATCTCAGATCTCCAGTAGGTAAAAACGAGTCTTCATCAAATTCCTTGCTAACATTTCATGTGAGATATCCCTAATGAGTGATACAATATTGCGCCTTCCAACCCATCATTTCTATTACAACCAAATTCCCAAAATTTTATATACACTCCGATCCTAGCGAATCTTCCTATATAATGTGATACTCGCTGCGAATGAGCGTAGAATAAATGCCTTGCAGAAATACTCAATCTTAAATTTGGAAATCTATCTTTGTTATAAGCTACCTTATCAATAAATCCTGCGGTATTGACATAAGGTCTCCCTCGCTTCCCATTAGCACATTCATATCCTTTCGCCTGTCATGCAAGCCCATTATACACACACTAGAATATCCTGGCTCCTTGCTTCTGCAGGAAATCGATCTCTTTAAATATCTCTCAATAGTCGATCCTCCTTCATCAGTACGACAGAAGAACTGGAATAACCCTCTAGTTGGCAACTCCGTTGTTTACCTTAAATTGAGGAGCCAACCCGAGTAATATTCTCTATTCTTTCCATTTCCGCATGTAGCGGTTACGTTCTTGAGGCTTTTTCATAAAAAATCTTGACTAACTACTTAGCAACGATGGACTACATCACGCCATTGGTTTAAGACTCATTTGTGAAATGGTAATGCCCTATCACTGTATTCACTGTAACATCGGTTGACTGCAAAGACGGTCATCTTTTGTATAGCAAGTATTGTAGAGGTAAATTCATTAAAATGCAATGATACTCAGGGTCTTAAAATCTGCAGGCATTCCATCAATCCTTGAGCCCATTCGTCTTTACACTTCCAATGGTAAATGGACCGATGTTTCTACCATGATCACTTGTAAAAAAGGATAATTCTTAAACTGGGACTTCTCGTGTATTGATCTTCTTGCCTCCCTTATAGACACTAAGACGATTAAACTCGCTAAATATTCACATTCACTACCTACCAAATATACACTTCTACCCATAATCTTATGACTTGTCCTTCGAATATCATGCCTTGACCTTTTTTAAAGAGTTTGGGCACCGGATCTATGCTAGGACCGAATAGGCTGACTAAACATGAGTAACACTCCGCTTTATACTAACGTCCCATGAATCCCATGAATTATCATCTATTTTGTATATGTAATACTAAAATTTAACAATTATTATTAATCATTTAATTATATATTTTGTATGTAGATGAGATATCATTTCAAAATAATTATATTGTTAAAATAAAATAATCAAATTGAAAGAAAAAAAATAACAATGTTTATTTGAATTTTTTTAGGACGCCTATAAAATTAAAATTAAAATTGGTGTCCATTTCGAATAAAATAAAATAAAATCAAGGTCTTGCTTATTATTAGTTATATTATAATTATAAACTATTTTCATATTTTTTTTGAATAATTACATTTTGAAGAGATAATATTTTGCGTTTTATTAAAATAATTCAGACACAAAATATTACATAAAAACAAAAACAAGCAAACCTTCTTGCATAATTATTTTTATAATTGTCAATATATTTTGTTTTCGATTTTATATTTTAATGAAATATAAAGGTGCAATGTCTATGAAACAAAATATTGAGGGTCATTTGCAAATATGCACATTTTTAGTGTTATTAAGGGGTTCTATTTGTATCAAAAATTATGTTCGAAAAGATGACCACAAAGGTTTGGACATCTATTTGCTAAATCTCTAGGGCTTATGAAATATTTTTCCGGATAAAATATTGGGTTTGTTTGACGATTATAAGTATCAATTTGAGACTAATCGCAATTATTATATAAAAATCTGCCAAAGGCTTAGATTCTTTCAATAAAATTTATAAAGGACACCAATAGTTCCTCTTCCTCCTTATGGCGCCTATGAGTTAAGTAATCACTATCAGCTATTTCGGAGTTAGTTATTTACCATGAACTTAAAACATCTTCGATAATATTGTTTTACTCCCCTTTTCATAAAAATAAACAAAATTCAATATATTAGTATACATATATTATTTACATCTCTTTCATATAATTTAATTCCTATTGGCTACTTTTCACTACTCACCTCCCAAATCCTGATTTATTTTAAAAATTCCTTATGGAATTTAAATAAATGACCATAAAAATTAGTGTGAATTTAAAGGGACTGCTAATGTTAAATTGAAATTCGGGAAAAATAGTTAAAAAGATGTCTATATACAGTTTATTCAATAAATTAGTAAAATTTAAAAATTTATAAATGTAAAATTTTAAACTCAGGGTCGAAATGATGCTACCCTTTGATATATACATTGTTCCCATTTTGAATTTCAGCGAAATATATTATTCAGTTAAATTCAATATATTTAGTTAAAAGTCATAAATATTATTTAATATAATAATATATAGATGTTTTTACAAGTATAATAAAATATGTAAACAGGATCTTAAAGACCCCGCTGGTAAATTAAAGGTTAATCTTTATAATTTCAATGAAGTTAAATTTTATGTCTATTAAGTTAAAAATTCAGGCAAAATAATATATTATCATATATTATAAAAATAATTATTCACAAAATTTGGCAGTCCTTCAATAAATTAGTTATTTATTATTAAATAAATTATTTTTAACAAAATTTAAATGTTTGTTATTAAAAATTGATTTCATTTTATAGTTTTTTGTTTTATTTTTCTTTTTTTAATAAATTGTATGAAGAAGGGTAATGTTTTGCAATAAATTTTTAACTATAATTACCACATAAAAACATTCAATCTTCTATTTTTGCGAAGTTTCAAAATTTCATTAAAAATCTTCTCTATCTCACATTGTTTATTTCACCATGTTACACTGGCATGTAAGTCAATATAAAAATATCATGCACTAATTTTTATATTTTGTTTTGTCATTGTCAATTAAGTTTTATGATTAAATCATGTTTATATTTTTTAGATATATGTTTTAACAATAGATTAAATAAGTTGAAGATATTTTCTAAGATTAAATAAAACATTATTTAGAAGTTTATATTAATAGGTAATGATCGCATGCGCAATAATAATTCCGTTTTCTGTCACAAATTACGATAATCTAATTTTTAAAATTTAGCAATATAATCAACCAATATATATACATTATTTTTATGTAGCCAGAGTTGCACCGGAACTTACAACAATTACACCAACAATCTCAGAATCCAGGAGAGATGGTTCAAATGCTTTATTTAATACTTATATTGATATTTAAAACAAACATTCACAAAGAATTTTTAGAATAATTTTTTAAAATCAAATTTTACTTAAATATCCTTTTAAAAAATATTGTTGACCCCAAAAAAACATTATATATAATTTTTTTAAACGTATAGAAATCTGAAGTTTGCCCCGTTATTTCTTTAAGGTTGCATATAAAAATGCTAAATATTTATCACTTTTTATATTATCATTTATAAAAGTTTTTAATGCAGATCAAAGAATGAAGCAAGATTAAAAAAAGAAGTTTTATAAATTTAAAAAATGATACAATTCAATTTAATGTTAACATCATAATGTTATTGTATAATAAATATTAATTAATATTTGCTGATATATTCAAAAATTCATGATTAAAATTATCCGAAATATGTATATAAATATTATATTAATCTTTGTTTTAAAAATAACCTTCTATTAAATCCAAATTTAAATGTACATAATTTATAGATATGATTTTTTGTAAAATATTTCTAAATATTTTTAACAACTTATAAAATTGTATAACTATTATAAAAATATGTTGATAAATTTTTTTTTTAAAAAAACTATAATTATGGCAAGATAAACAATTTTTAAGAAATTTATTAAAATATATGGAAATTTTGTACTAAAAATATTATTAATACTGTAAGCTAGATATATGATTAATTTAAAAATGTAATAAAGTTATAAACGTCAATTATATATATAAAATGTAAACTGAACCGAGTCTTAAAAACCGAACCGAACCTAAACCTTTATAAAATTTAATTCTTTAACCTGAGCACCTAAACCTTTATAATACATATTAACTTGTTTCATCTCTTTTTTTTGAGTAATATACGTCTACTTCCATTGCTAGGAATAATGAATAGCAATATAATTGTTTTGATGAAAAGACATCGTAATGGCTTGCTCTAAAGATAATCATGTGACAAATTTTAGGAATTCTTTTCCAAATGAATTTGATTAATACTATATTCGTTATTCCACGAGTTTTGGGCTGAACATACCAAAAGTTATTTATTAATAAAGATAGGTCCAAGATTTTTTACTTGGAATTGCCAACAACCATTGGTAGCCCGATTTAGAATTAAAATGTGTATGTGTTGCTAGTGTCAGTTTGGTAATTACATTCTTTTTTTTAAATAATTGTTTTAATTTCACTTCTTTTTTTACAAAAATGTTTTCTGAAAATTTTGTATTATGGACAATAATTTAAGAATTTATTAACTTTTTTTTCAATTTATTTTTTATAGTGATATGTTGTATACATTTGAAGAGGGGCGGGGGTTTATAGGGGGAAATTTTTATTGGCTTAAAAAAATATTTAAGAAATGATGCAAAGAGGGAAATTTCCTCTTGCCTACTTATCTAAATACCAATGTAATAGTGACAAAATAACTAATTCAAATATTGACGTGTGTGAGTTAGCATTTTCTACTAGCTCTAAATATAGTAATCATAAAGTCAAAATATATCAGAGAGTTCTATTATAAAACTTATTTTTATACAAATTATTATTTTTTAGTGAAAATTAAAAATATGTCTTAAATCTTTTTAAATTTGACACCAAAATTTATTTCAAATATAAAATCGTCAATTAATTATTTTAAAAGATTTCTCTATCTATTGATAAAACGAAATTAGTACAAAATTTAAGCATTCTAATTATTAAATTTTTAAATGAGATTAAGTGGTTTCACATTCGCCAGGATTTTAGCTTCACTCTTCCCTATTTACGCCTATGCCGGATATCAAAAATTACAAGGTTATTACATATGATAAACCATCATCATGATATTTAATGGTTAATACCATATTATTAATATAATTTAAAAATTATGACATATAATTTTATATAATATGCAAGTAATTATACGTATCATAATCATAAAAATAAAATAATAAAGATATAAAGAGTGTATACATTGGGCCATCTACGCTTGGAATATGCATGGGCGCCAGATACAATAATTGCCATAATCGTGACTAAATTATATATTATATCATTTTCTTTTTACAAATATTACATCAATATATTCCTTTCATAATTTTGAACATATTTAAAATAAAAATTTTTTTCTTCTTTCTAATTTATTGTGGAGATTTATTCGAAAATTAAATAAATTAAAATTATATAAACTTAATAATAAATTTTTTAAATAAAACTCACAATCTATATTATATCGATAAATTTTTTATTTAAAAATTGGCAATGAATCCTTATAGAAAAGATTTTATCGTTAAATTTGACATAAAACCTTGTTTTGTCTTTTTTTAATAAAGATCTGATGTAGATATTTTTAATATATGTAATAATCTATTTAAATTATAATAAATTCAATAATGTTATAATTTCTTTTAAACTTGATAGTTGGCATTATACCCCATATATTAGATAAAGTTACACAGAAACTATTATTTAATATTAAATAAACCCCATCACAGATTATCATTAAATTTGATTCAATACGGTTCTTTTAAATATTCGTATCGTATAAGAATAATATTTTTAGAATAATAAACTTCTCATTATTCGATCGAATTATTTTATTCGTTTTATTATAATATTATTATATTTATTTATTCGAATCAAGATTAAATAATATTATAAAAACTATAAATATATGGTGAATTCCATATCAAATCAACCAAAAAAAGTCGATTCTCAACCCGACCCTCTTCAATTTTTCTTAAATTTTGCATAATGGTAGTATAAACTATAACTAAGAAAAAAATGAAATTTTACCTCCCAACAAGGTTTACTCGCTAAGATATGGGCGTTTAAAGCGCGGAAAAATAGTACATTTTTGACAAAATGTGCCTCATTTATTTTCAAATATCTCGAGAAATAATTAAGTTAGAAAAATAATTTAAATTTTATTATGTAGCTTAATAATAGTTCTTTAATATGACATAAAAATAAATATGATATAAATATGATGAATGTCCAAAACCGGATGTATAAAACCGGAAATGGCCATAGAAAAAAAAAGGTATTTTTTTTTTCGAAATTTTTTTTCCGTAGATAGATATAACACTGCTTTATATTTGTGCCAAATCCTAGCCTGGGATGAAAAAGGGTCTAGGAGTTATGACTCTTTATATGGCTTAAATTGATCAAAAATATCATCATTTAATGAATACTTATGAAATTATGTTTTTTTTAAAATTATGTCTAAATGATAGGCCCTAACTTTTTTTTATTTTTAATTGTTAACATGTTGTGACTGAAAATTACTTGACAAAACAATTCTAAACCAATTTATAACTTTATTTTTCTGAAATGCATAATTACATATAATATAATAATTCATAATTATGTTTACAATATATCATATATTAAATTATCTAAAGAATTGGTATAAATTTTGACTTTAATTTTATTTTCATCAAGGGGAATATAAGCATGGTATTTTTGTGTTCCCGGAATTCTTTTTGCTCTCAAAAATCTGCATTATTTGTTGCAAAGTCGAATAAATGCATTGGTGTCAAAATATGGTTTTGATATGGCAGTTGCAAACTAGCTCGAGCTGCTAGCCGTTTTGTAATACCTCCTAAACTGTCGCACGGACTTATTCCATGAGCTGTAGCAAAAAAATGCCACTCGGCCTTTATACCAAAATCACATTCATGATTATAGAGATTTATGAAATTTTTTTTATTTTTATATTGGATTACGGCCCCAATCAGAAAAATAATAAATTTTGGTCAATGTATCAAATCTTTCTTTTAAAAATAAGATCATTTTAGTTTGAAATAAATAAAAGGCACAGGCATTGTGCTTTAAGCAATCTGATATCACCACTAAACTTATATGTTTTATAGTGTTGTCCTGACGATAATAAATGATAAAAGGGTGAATAGTGGACGATTATTTGTCCAATGAAATCTCTGTGCATGGTCTTGCACTAAAAATGCATAATTTTCCGAAAAGTCAGCAATAACTAAGTATTCGCCAACATTTAAATTAGATTTTAAATTGTTTTGAAATAATGATTGTTGTGATGCTATAAATGAATGTGGAATCAAATTGTCTAATTTCTCAATTAAATAATCTAGGAATTTATAAGCTGATTTTGTCAGCGTTTCGAGCGTAGTTCTATCAACTACCAACCATTGTTTAAATGATATATAATCTATTGAATTCGTATCAAATAATATAATAAGTCTTTCTTTTATTTGGGATGATCCAGGACAAAATTTACATTTATTGAAGTAACATCCAGGCTGGGCAGGATTGCAAAGACTTTGTGCAATACAATGTTTATAATCGTTTATTGGAGGATAATTATAATGATCATTATTGTTTGTAAGCTGTTTTAATTTTCCCCCTATTAAAATAAGCTTAAAATTTTGGTGTAGTGTGCAGATACACATGGTATGTGTACCTGGACCACCTGCTAAAACACAGTTTTTGGGTCGTAAGAATGCAAATCTATTCACTCACAATATGTTAACAATTAAAAATAAAAAAAAGTTAGGGCCTATCATTTAGACATAATTTTTAAAAAAACATTATTTCATAAGTATTCATTAAATGAAGATATTTTTGATCAATTTAAGCCATATAAAGAGTCATAACTCCTAGACCCTTTTTTATCCCAGGCTAGGATTTGGCACAAATATAAAGCAGTGTTATATCTATCTATAGAAAAAAAATATTCGAAAAAAAAAAATACCTTTTTTTTTCTATGGCCATTTCCGTTTTTATACATCCGGTTTTGGACATTCATCAAATTTATATCATATTTATTTTTATGTCATATTAAAGAACTATTATTAAGCTACATAATAAAATTTAAATTATTTTTCTAACTTAATTATTTCTCGAGATATTTGAAAATAAATGAGGCACTTTTTGTCAAAAATGTACCATTTTTCCGCACGCCCATATCTTAGCGGGTAAGCCTTTTTGGGAGGTAAAATTTCATTTTTTTCTTAGTTATAGTATATACCACCAGTATGCAAAATTTAAAAAAAATTGAAAGGGGTCGGGTTGAAACCTTAGTTGATTTGATATGGAATTCACCATATGCATAATAATTATATTCAAAAAAAATAAAATCTGTAAAAATGATTTTAAAATAGTTAGGGATGGCTCCATAATAAGAAGGTTTCCAATAAAACTGATGTGGTTGGATTTATGATTGGGGATGGAAAGTCTTTCCCTTATAAAAAGCTTCCATGTGTTTATCCGTAATTTACGTATATATGAACCGAGTTCTTACAATATATGCATTAAATATATTTTAAAACAAAAAAAAATAGATATATAATTTAAAAAAGGCTAAAATTACTAATAAAAATACCTTAAACAATGTTTAATAGGTTACATGGAGCCATGTATTGATAAAAAATTTGATGGGTAAATTTCTAAGTCAATTGGCCGAAATATTCTCAAAATTATTCATAGTATTTATAATTATTCACAAATGTTAGAATTATTCGTAAGTGTTCAACATGTTCCTTAACTTAATTTTAACTTTACGATAGAAAATTAATATAAAAAATATGAATGTGATAATAAAGCGATATCTTTGGAATTTGTTAAATTAAATTTATAAAGAATTTGGAATGTTTTATTGGAATAGATAATGTGTGCATAATTGTCTATATAATATTTTTCAAGAAACTGATTTAATTCTTGAAATTTTATCAAGTGCAGATTTATACTCACCAAAAATATAATGAGTTATTATGTAAATTTTAAGAATTTTTTTTAGTAATAAATTAAATTAAAAATAACTAAACTGAAAAAATATTCTTTTATATAATACCACCGCAAATAAAATAATAAAAAATTAGAAGTTGTCAGATTGAGTGTATAGTTTATTTGGCATAATTCACCATATTATTTTCACAATAATATATTCATCTTTTTTCAATGATTTATTAACAATCAGTAAAATGTCGAGAATTTACAAAGTTAGAGATTTGGATTAATATAATACATCAGAGGGTTTACGTTTTTATTGAATACAACCTAATATTCTAAAGAATTTAAGAACTGAAACAAGTAGATATGGCTTAATTAAGTGTTAGGGATAACAATCTCTGAAAATATTATAAAACCTTCCTTTAAAAAAAATTTAATTATTATTGAATAGGATATGGTTTTCCTTTTCAAATTTTTCGTTAGATGGAAACAGAATCAATATGGTAATCATTGCCAGCAAAAGGCCTAGATACATGTTTGATCCTAAGTTCTTTACATTTTCTAAATGATTTAATGATGAAGGTGAGTATCCCATCTATTGTTGGTAGAATATCTATCAATTGAACTAATATTTTATCTGTCAACTACCCAATCTTCTCACTAGTCCTAATAAATTTACTAAATTATGTTCATTAGTACCTACAAGAACTATTTTTTTTATATAATATTTTTAAAATATTACCCTTCCTTTCCCAAAGATAAATCCTGGCTACTCGTTTGTGTCTATTGTGTACCTTGCAACTGATTTTGTTTATGATGTAGAAATTGTTGTGATTTTGTAGATTTAAGTTATATATATAATTTATATATGAAATGTCAGTTAACTTTCACGTTATATGTATTTATACATATATATAATTTTATATACATAATGTCAATCAAAAGGGGATTTGAAAAGGATATTGTTTTTCCTTGGGGAAAAAAATATATCATTGTCTTTGTTGAAGAATAAATTTTATTGTCTTTGTCTTGATGTAAAATATGAAATAATAAAATCATTGATGGTTCTAAAAACAAAAGTTTAATTTATTTGATTATTAATTTGCTATATTTTGTAGATATCATTGGAGTGTTAAATACTTATATTTACATATATAAAAATGGTGCCGTGACCAGGATGAGACACCGAAAGTTGATGGCAAATGTTATGTAAAATCATTTGAATCAAATGGAATTGGATGATGTTCAACTATTCTGGATATACTGGTAAGAATTTTTTTAAATTGTAATACACAACGCAATGAGAGATATTTTATTGATTAAATATGAATAAATAATATTAGTGTAAAATATTAATTAATTTGAATATTTTTAGTATTTATATGATATTATTATGAACTTATTAGAATGCAAAATATATATATAAGGAAGGTGAAAATTGTGTTAATATTTTGATATTTTTTTAAAAATATATATATGAAATATTTATGATTAAGAAATAAGGTATATTTATATGTATGAGATGGGATATTTTTATTATCTTGTTGTAAGAGATTTTAATTAAGAAATAAATGAGATTCAGAGACCTTTAAATTCTGAAATGAATTTAGGTATGAATATTAATTTCATTAATTAAAATTTCTTAAATGATGGTAGAAGAGTGGGGTACTTATTGGAATGAGTCCATGTAAATTTTTGTGGAAAATTTAAATGGTGATATGAATGTTACTTATTGGAATGAGTCCATGTAAATTTTTGTGGAAAA